TTGCACAGGTCATCCCAGGACGAAGCTCCGTAGATAATGTCGTCAATATACGGACTCCGGGACAGCACAGGTCCCATCTGTTCCGGGGCACCCGGTTCTGGTGGAACACGGTGTCGGTGCTGGTCCTGGAGACCACCGCCCCCCCCCGGGGCTCCGTGCCCTGGGATGCCGGGGCGTCTGAGTCATCGGGAGAAATCCCCAAGAACTCTAACACCTCCGGGTCGACAAGCCGTTCCTCTTCCGGGGGTATCCGTACGAAACCCCAGAGACAGTTATCCAAAAGCTGTTGGTAGATCAGTGGGGCGTTCTTCAGCCCGAACGGCATGCGCTTCCATTGAAAGTGTCCGAGCGGGCAAATGAAGGCCGAGATCAGCTGAGCTCGGGCTGTCATTGGAACCGCCCAGAATTCACTCGCCATGTCCAGAGTCATGAACCACATAGTGGCGGCGGTCGATTAGGGGTAGGGGTAGTTCATCAGCTTGATCAGCTGGTTCACCAACCGGTAGTCGATGCACTAGCGGACATCGGTACCGTACTTCTTCATCACGAGGACGATGGCCGATGCCCACTCCGAGTCAGAATACTCGATCAAACCAGTTTCCAGGAGACGCTTGAGCAACTCGTACACCTTGGACAGTAAGTCGGCGGGAATCCTCCGGGATCGCATAGAAATGGGTTTTGCGTCCCCAACCTCCAGGTCGTACACGACGACCCGGGCCGGGGGGGGAAGTGCGTTTCCTTCTCCTAAGAAAATCATTCGGTGCTTCCGGAGGATGGCCCGGAGCCTCTCCTCCTCTTCGGGGTCCCACTCCTCGGGCTCACCGACGATCGCATCTTCGATGTTGGCCTCGGGCCGGAGATCGCTGAGGTCGGGGAGATACGCCAGCTGGTTCTTGAGCATATCTAAGAGCACGAAGTCGGAACCTTGGTGATAATAGACCGCGGGTTCCGGGTCCAGACTTTCCCCAGCCATCGCCACCATAACGAACGACCGGGCCAATGCGACTTGGGCGTCCATGGTAGCGGACTCGGGGGACTCCGGGACGGGTTCCTAAGAGGCTGCGAGCGCTGGAGTGCGCCCGTCCCCCGAGGAAGCCTGGGCTTCGTGGTTCGAGGATCCGCTCCTCGAGACCAGGGGACCGGGGTCAACGGGTTCTGGGGGTATACCCGAGGCGGTCATGACGCGGTTAGCACCGGGCGCCGGAGCGGGTGCAGTCGGGGGATCATCGGGCTTGAAACCGTTTCCACACTGGGGGTCCGGGACCGACTTCCTCGACCGTTCGTTCCCCGATGGTTCCGGAGGCTGCGGGGCTCGGTGGCCTCAGAGACTTCGGAAACGACGGTCCGGGTCTCCGGGGTCCGCCTGAGGACGCGAGTCGGGGTTGGGTACGTCGGACGGTCCACCATGGGCGGTGCATTCCGCTCGAGTTCCCGGACTTCTGCGTCCAGGGGGCGCTCCGCCGCGGGGGACCGGGTATTCTCGTAGACTAGGAATTCCCGTTCGCCGTACTGGTAGGACCCCCGGGCGCACAAAGTTGGTCCCCAAAGGCAACCGATCCCGATCTGTCAGGGCAGCAACCTTGGTGTGCGGAGGTACTTGGACCGGTCTCCGGGAGATGTTCACCACCCGAGCGGCGACCGGGA